TGAACAGCACACGGAAGATAAAGTCGGCAATAAATGCTGGCAAAGAGCCCAAAGGTATGAGCATGTACCGAGCGTCTAGGCCAACCATATAGCGATCAGATGGAGAGGGCGAAGTCAGGCCCTTTACTATTGCATTAACAACTACGCTGTTATCGGAAAGGGCACGGTAATTTGTCACTTTCTGTACTGCTGAAAAGAAAAACAAAAAAGTCAACCTTGACATGAATGACTGAATTGATGGCTATAGTTCAAAAAATGGGACAGAGAAGTATTAGTTAATCTTATTATTTTTATTGAAGAGATGAATGCATTTCTCATTCTGTGCAAAGTACAGCCTAATGATAAGCAAAAAGGTTGTAATAATAATATAATACAAGTGCTGCACTTCTTGAGTAGTGTAATTTTGACGCCAATCAGATCAGAGTCAAAAGTGGTTTCTTAATGAGAGGGGAAAACCAGACTAGCCAGAGAAAAACCTCCTGGGAGACAGCATAGGGATTTGCAGTTTTGGCATAAGTTTTTTAGATCAGTTTTTCAGTTTTAGTATCTGTTCAGTGGTCTTCGGTTATCCCAGCTTTTAACTATTGTTTTTCGGTTTTTGGCAAACCTATAATCAGTTCATCCAGTGCAGCTTCTGGTTTTTCCTGTTAGGTGTATGGTTTCAGTGCAGCGGTCAGTCACATGCACACGCAATCTGCGATGTTACCCCCATTTCTTGAATTAGCCTTCTCACGCAGACTCAAGTTCGTATTGTCCACGTATTACCAATGAATTAGTATAATTACGGTTATATAAACTTGGTTGTGATGGTTTTTGGTTTTGATCAAAATGTACAGTGGGTTTTTTGTTTGGAGCGATATTTTTTTTTTGGTAGTGTTACAGAGTAGAGAATCATCAACAAACCCAATTAATACGAGAAAGGCCATGAAGTTGGCGCTGGCAGGGTTGGCGCAGTGGTGAGAGCACTCGCCTTCCACCAATGTGGCTTAGGATCATTTCCCGGATTTGACGCCATATGAGGGTTGAGTTTCTTGATTCCCCTCTGCTCCGAGAGGTTTTTCCCCAGTTACTCCGGTTTCCCCCTCTTCAAAACCAACATTTTGATTTGTTCTGATTTCAGTTGATTTGTAGCCTCCCCAATCAATAGAGCACTCGTACTTGAGCTCTCGTGCTCAACCTTGAGACTTAAAGAAAGGGATTATTACTATTATTATTAAGAAGAAAGCAGAATTCAAAACATAAATTAATAACTCCTGCAAAACCTTTTTTTGGTTGTTCAGATGCCAAAACTAAACGTCTAAAAAGCAGAACTTACGATTATATAAATATCATGACGTGCTGATGAATTCATGTCATCACTATCAAATTTGACGATGTTAATAAGTCATGTTATTGCTTAAATTCCATTTATTTCTTACAGGTAATGTGTTGTTCACTACGACTGGTAACTCATGCAGGTTTTGACAAAGTAAGCAAAAATGGGAAAAATGTAGTTTCTTACAATGGAATTTTATACAACCCTGAATAATAACAATGATAATAATGATAATAGTAATAATAATGATAATAATAATAATAATGATAATGATGATAATGATGATGACGATAATGATGATGATGATAATGATAATGATAAATTATTAATGTAAGAAGCCTATAACCTGCCGCCAGTAAGATAAAGGGTTATGTTACAAGGGTAGGAGTCAGTACCTCTCTTTAAATACGCCTCTCCGTAGTCCCTTTTCAGGTCGTCGTTAATAAGGTCCCATCCCTTCCTTAAGCCTCTCTCCAGAGCTTCAGGAGCAGAGAGTTTGGTGGCAAAGAATCCCGGCTCCAGCACAATGACTTTCATNTGATGTTTTTTTCCATGGATTTTTCATGGTATCAAATCCACGAAAAACCTGGGGGATTAATCCATGCCGAAAATGGCACAAAAAAACATTTGAAAATCCTGTGAATATACCATGAATATATTCACAGGATTTTCATGGATTTTTATTTGATAGTGTTCACTGCTTTTCATCTGTGTTCTTTATGCTCATAATAACATTTCATTATTATTATTATTATTATGTATTATTAAAGAGCTGTGACTGTTTAGTGCAAGTCACATTTCGTAGGTTTTAGCAAATTAAGTCTCAATCATGAAGTGTTACACTACCCACTGGGATGAGCTCAGTCTTAAAAGCATAATTTTAAATAAAGATCAAGAGTTCTGGGACATGAGCAAATTCACCTATTCTCTTCCACATGCAAAAAACACCATGAAAGGTGAAAAGGTAGTGAATTACATTTGGTGAGAAAAATCTGACTAATTTAAATTAACTTAACTTTGTCTTGAAATGATAAGGGAAAGGACATTCTGCAATCCAGAAAGATTGTAAAGCTTAGGGATTTCTGCCATGTCTGACCATGTCCTTAATTAATAACATGTCACAAAAATAAAAGGATCAGATGAGAGGGGGAAATTCGTCAATACATACATTATCCATTGGCTTCCAAAAAGAACAAGACAGCCAATATGCAGGCTATTAAGGGATTTGCACATAACTGAGAGCGCAAATGTTTTAGTTTAAAACTTCCCTAAAGTATATGCTTCTCTATTTGTTCTGGTAAAAACATTAAGTGACTTTTAAAGAGATGCATGTGTGTTCAAAACTGTAAAAGCGCACAAAACTACAGTAGGCTATCGCAAGTTTCCCTGAGCCAAGTTCTTAAGTTTTATATTCATATGCAAGAATAGAATCAATGAATGAATCAGTGAATGGATTTTTATTAGCTACTTGTAAAACATTCTCTCTACACTATTCAACTTTTTCTTTAGTAAATGCTTCTACATTTAAACTGATGAAGACTACGTTATTATGAAAGACATGAAAACAGAAAAAAGTTTCCTTTTGAAATGAAACAGCAAGCTGTTCACTAACATAGTGGCACTTGCTCTCTAGCCAGCATGTGCTTGTGGTGGTCTGAACAGCACACGGAAGATAAAGTCGGCAATAAATGCTGGCAAAGAGCCCAAAGGTATGAGCATGTACCGGGCGTCTAGGCCAACCACATAGCGATCAGATGGAGAGGGCGAAGTCAGGCCCTTTACTATTGCATCTACAACTACGCTCTTGTCGGAAAGGGCACGGTAATTTGTCACTTTCTGTATCGCTGAAAAGAAAAACAAAAAAGTCGACCTTGACATGAATGACTGAATTGACGGCTATAGTTCCAAACATGGGACAGAGAAGTATTAGTTAATATTGTTATTATTTTTATTGAAGAGATGAATGCATTACTCATTCTGGGCAAAGTACAGCCTAATGATAAGCAAAAAGGTTGTAATAATAATATAATAGAAGTGCTGCACATCTTGAGTACTATCATTTTAACGCCAATCAGATCAGAGTCAAAATTTGTTTCTTAATGAGAGGGGAAAACCAGACTACCCACAGAAAAACCTCCTGGGAGACAGCATAGGGATTTGCAGTTTTGCAATAAGTTTTTTAGATCAGTTTTTCAGGCTTTTGTGTCGAAAAACTTTCAGTTTCATTTTTCAGTTTTAGTATCTGTTTGGTGGTCATGGGTTTCCCCAGCTGCAGCTTTTAACTTGTGTTTTTCAGTTTTTGGCAAAACTACAATCAGTTCATCCAGTGCAGCTTCTGGTTTTTCCTGTTAGGTGTATGGTTTTGGTGCAGGAGTCAGTCACATGCACATTCAATCTGCGATGTTACCCCCATTTCTTGAATTAGCCTTCACACACAGACTCAAGTTCGTATGGTCCACGTATTACCAATGAATTACATGTAGTTTGATTACAGTTATACAAACTTGGTTGTGATGCTTTTTGGTTTTGATCAAAATGTACAGTGGGTTTTTTGTTTGGAGCGATATTTTTTTTTTGGAAGTTTTACAGAGTAGAGAATCATCAACAAACCCAAATACGAGAGAGGCCATGAAGCTGGCGCTGGCAGGGTTGGTGCAGTGGTGAGAGCACTCGCCTTTCACCAATGTGGTTTGGGATCATTTCCTGGATTTGACGCCATATGAGGGTTGATCGAGTTTGTTGGTTCCCCTCTGCTCCAAGAGGTTTTTCCCTGGTTACTCCGGTTTCCCCCTCTTCAAAACCAACATTTGACTTGATTTGTTCTGATTTGTAGTCTCCCCAATCAATAGAGCACTCGTGCTTAAGCTCTCGTGCTCAACCTTGAGACTTAAACAAAGGGATTATTACTATTACTATTAAGAAGAAAGCAGAATTCAAAACATAAATTGATAACTCCTGCAAAACTATTTTTTTTGTAGTTCAGATGCAAAAACTAAGCGTCTAAAAAGCAGAACTTACGATTATATAAATATCATGACGTGCTGATGATTTCATGACTCATCACTATCAAATTTGACGATGTTAATAAATCATGTTATTTCGTAAATTCCATTTATTTCTTACAGGTTATGTGTTGTTCATTACTACTGGTAACTCATACAGGCTTTGACAAAGTAAACAAAAATGGGAAGAATGTAGTTTCTTATGATGGAATTTTATACAACCCTGAATAATAATAATAATAATAATAATAATAATAATAATAATAATAATAAAATATTAATGTAAGAAGCCTATAACCTGCCGCCAGTAAGATAAAGGATTATGTTACCAGGGTAGGAGTCAGTACCTCTCTTTAAATACGCCTCTCCGTAGTCCCTTTTCAGGTCCTTGTTGATGTGGTCCCATCCCTTCCTTAAGTCTCTCTCCAGAGCTTCAGGAGCAGTGATTTTGGTGGCAAAGAATCCCGGCTCCAGCACAATGACTTTCATTCCCCAGGGTTGCATTTCCTGTCGTAGAGCATCAGAGAATGCCTCCACACCATATTTTGACACACAATAAGAAGCATAAAGCGGAACTGAAATCCTTCCTGTTATTGATGAAAAGTATAAACAGTTATAGAAATGTGTAAGTATCACAAAAACTTTAGAAAAACAGTGGTACACCAGCTGCATGTATTGCTGGTAAAGTAAACACATCTGCTGAAAAAATAATGTATCTGCTCATTAAATTGCATGGCACCCACTTAACAGACCTAAGCTACTGGTAATGGAAACCCTAAAGATACCAACAAGGATAACGTTTATAATGGTATTAAAATTGTATCATTATTTATGTCATTCAGTGTAACTACACTTAAAGGAAGTCATATACTTGAGTAAAGAAATACATAACTTTTCCATAGACTGTCTATATCCAACCATTGTTAGCGACCGTTTGCTATCCCTTACCAGAAATGTTTAGCAAACCATGTACCAGTGGAGAGAATGGCCCCAATGCAGCTAATCACAGTGGAGATGGCAAAATCAGCTTTTTTCTTTTGTTATTTCTGGGTCCTTCTTTCGTTTTTGTGTAGGTAACAGTAGGGAGTGTGGAGCATTACTTTTTCTTAAGCTACATGTAAAATTGAAAATGATTCTCATTTCTTTTGGAATTTTCACTTCCGGTGGGGTACAAAACTGCACTAGTAAGGAGATTGGGGATAGCAGAACTGTGTCGTCAAAACAAGAATGCATGAAATTTTAGGGATAGACCGTATTTCGTTCTTTTGTCTAATTTCATTATTGCAACCAAAATGAAAAGGCATCTCAGAAGCAGTTTTGGCAACTTCTGAATCTAAAAAAAGGGAAAATTCGGGTCCTGGAGAAATTTCATTCCTGTTTTGACGTCACAGTTTTGTTATCCCCAGTCTCCTTACTAGCAGGATTTTGTACCCTACTGGAAGTGAAAATTCCAAATTTTAAGAGGCTCAAAGGACACGGAAGGAAAATCAGGATGGAATTTTTCTAATTGTTTTATCGCAGAAAACCATAATGTTTCCATTGAGTAAATAAAAAAAAGTCGTATGCACTTTAAACATGTTTAAAACTTCAGATGCAAAGAATTGTGGGCCACTAGATTCGCTTATCGATTTGTCAACAATTTAGTCAATGTGGCAGAATAAGAGATCCAGCGGAGCAAATTAATGTGATGTCTTGCTGCCACAATGCTCATTGAAGTGTTAAAAGATAATAGTAAATTAAGAAGGTAAACGACGGAAGACTAGGAGTGCCTCCTTTATTCATCATCTTAAAAACAGTGACTGCGTGATGCTGTATTCATGGTAATGACCAATTATTTATGGCTCAAGGATCTTGCGTGCATCAACCTTGTCTGCAGCTGTCAAAATGTGCAAAACAGCGCTTACCAAACAAGTAAACAAAATAAATATTTAATTAATGATGTTTTATCAAATGTTTGACGGCCTTTAAATTCTATCAAACTCCAATAAAACATGTTAAAATCTTGTTCAAACACCACCAAAAATTTCCCGTTTGGACAGGGCTTTACATGTAAGAACATTCAAGTCTTTGATGCAAAACTATTGTGCAACCATAAACAGTAAGTGTAGTACAAGAACTTGAGCCCTCTTCTCTAACCTGCCATACTGCCCACATTCACCACTCGTCCCTTGGACATCTTTAACAGTGGGAGAAAGGTCTTAGTGACATCAACCATTCCCCATATATTGACATCTGCTGTTCGCTTAAAGTCTTCCAGTGGCGACCACTCAATTGGTGCTAAANAAATGCCACGCTAATTAGTGTCAATTGTAGTTTGACTTGTGACTTTTTCACATATTCTAAACAATAGCGAAGCTTTTGATTTTTTTTTTCAAACAGGAAAAGAAAGGTTAATTGCACACATTCGCGGGATAAATGAATGCTGAATACTGTTTAGATTTTTACTGAAGACTTTTTGACTCGTAGTTTTAGTAACATTCAAGCTGTATTGATTGTTATAAATCAGTTACGCTTCCTCCCCCCGTTAGTGTTCATACAAAAAAAAAATCTTAGAGGGAGGGGTAGCGTAGCAGAAAACTGTCGTCGCAATAATGAGGTGCTCTTGCATGGAAAATAATTCTGGGTGAGGGAATGAAATAAATGACAGCACACACAGGTGAAGGTAAACTTTTATTTAGACGTTGGCGAATTGACCAGTAGGACGTTGGCGAATCGACCTAAGACGTTGGCGAACGACCGGATACCGCCGGGGAGTGATTGAACGTCCCTTGGCGTACGAACACGACAGTTAAAATTAATGTCAGCAGAAACGAAATGGGTGAATATTATACGGGCATCTCTTAACCAGTAAAAGTAAAAGAGGAAGTCGAGTTCTTATTTCATCTCCTTGGCGGTCGTCATTTTATCCGTCACGCGATCCTTCAGAACGCTTACGTGATGACACAAACTATAGGCAATGAAAATTTCGACTCGTTGGCTTCCTGATTACGCTGGCATATGTCCATATCTCGCTACCTGAATGCAATTTTCGTGACCTTCAAGAGTTTAGTATGTATTGGAGAAAGATACTCAACCTCTACTGATCTTCGTGTCAGTTATGACTACATGTGATAAAAAAATATAGCCACTTAACAGCTTGTCAGTATAGATCTACATCCTGACTTACTATAACGACACATAAATGAGACAGACTTGTATGAGAAACTGCCTTAATAAGTGACTTCCTCGCTGAAACTAGAGTAAGCAATTATCACAATTTTGACATGCTGGCATGATTGAAGATTATATGTCAGTTAACGAGAAGGTAAGCGTACTGCAGGAGATGAATTGCGTGCGAAACTATCTCAGTTCTTTCAGCGCCGTCACGTAACGCGTAATGATGTAATATATATTGCCTGTAAGTTGCTTCTCTTTTACCGTCTGAACAGCTCACTGAGGTTACGAATCAATTTTAAGCTTTTATTCCTTGACAGTCTTGCTATGTCCCGTCGATATGATTAGCATTTTATTGGTGTCGAATTAAAATATCGCGTCAGTAAGATTTTCGAGAATCCACTGCGCCAACTTTAAACGATCATTTCACTTCTATTACTCACATTAAATCAAATGATCAGAAGTCGAGTTTCACTGCGTAATCGTTCGCTTATCTAAGACTCGGCTATATATATCCAGAGGAGAGTATCAATACGGTTAAATTAATGCTTTTAAAACAGCTCCTTGATCGAGGACAAGCAACATGTTGCTCTTAAAATTATTGATCAAGAACAAGAAACTACATAGTGTCTCTTGTCAAAAATTACCTTCGTCCGCTGGAATCTCTTTCTTGACACTTTCAAAAACCTCTCTAACCTGATCAGCGTCTGTAACGTCCATACAGTAGGTCTTGACTCTGTTACTACAAACAGCTCTAACAGACTCCTCGCCAGCCTTTGTTCTGCAAGTCGCGATCACTCGAGCACCCAGCTGATCCAATTCCACGGCAATCTGCTTACCAAAGCCCGATCCGCTTCCGGTTATGAGAACATATCTGTTTCTTATGCCTTCTATTTTTCCCTGTCCTCCACGAAAGTACAGAAACAACCATCTTAAAATGTAGCATGTTGCTGCTGCGAAACACAGAATGACTACAGACGCCATGGTTTCGACCTCACGCAGCAGGGGAAAACAAAGACAGTGGAATCAATTTGTTCCTGATTGGTCTGGATCCCAGACGAACTCACCCAAAAACCACGGAGAGCAAGAATGATTTTAACAGCTGCGAAGAATTTTAAAGTTTCTAATTTATTCGTAAGTAACCGTATCAAGTGTCTCTCATCACCAAAAGCTGTAGATTAGCATAAAATTTACAATTGAATATGTTGACCTCAGTTTGTTCGAGCGTAAAAAAATTTAAAAGTAGATAGGTATTACGAAAACAAAACACTACAAATTAGCCATTGCTTTAGTTCTTTGTTGTCATTAATCAAATAACTCAGTTTTACAATTTAAACTCTTGGTCTTCGGCCATCGTGGCTTGATTAAAAATATAACACAAACTGATAAACATTTTAAAAACGTCAAGTTCATAAAATGCATGTTTTTAAAATGTTTATCACCGCTGTTTGTGTTACATTTTTACAATTTAAACTTTATAAAATGAACAGAGATATATGCATATACGTATATTAGCTCTCCTGTACATAAATATTCCACGGCTGAAAAAAACATTCTTCAAATCGACTTACTGCTTTAGTAAAGTAATTCGTAACTTAAGTGATAATTACAGTCTTTTCTTGTGAGAACCTTTTCATAAGTACGGTGTCGGTTGGTGCTGAGATTAACCCAAATGAACTACAAAGAAAACAGTCAGATTCGAATTCCTTACAAAGGTTGAACTTTGGTTTCTATCAGTTGTATTTTTTCATTTACAGCTATTGGAAGCTATGAGAAAAAACTTCCAAAGAATAAACGATTAAAAATGGTAACGGTAACTTCACTGAAAGGCTCAAAGAGCGAAGGAAAAAACTGTGAACGTTTGGCCTTAAAATTAGATGTGCTTTAATACAAAAAATTAAGAGTGTATCCTCAGCGGCGACCTTTGTAACATATTTGACCAAGAAAAGTCCATGCTGAGCTAGTCAGTGTTAAAGTAATTTTTGACTAAAAGAAAGTATTGATTTTCTCAATCCACGCAGCTCCTCTAGTGTTATCAGTAGTCAGTGGGTTGTACCGTTAACGTGACATTCAGGGACATCTTGGGCAGGCGGTGTCACGATTTTGAACGGGAAATCTTTGACGAGGAGATCTTGCAGCACTTCAGGCAGATGGGAACTTAGTTTCAATTGCCACGCGTCCCAGCCAATCACATATCGCTCCTTCGGAAACTGTGAGGTCAACGGCGACACAATCGCGTCGATCACGTGACTCACTTTATTGGAACCAGATTTGCACCAATCACGAAATCCCTGGATGGCTGAAATAAAACACATTTGTTAACAAGCAATTCTTCAGTCTGAAAGGCCAGTCACCCCTCCTATCTCACTGGCAAGGGGCACTGGTTAATACAACCTTGATCCCAGACTCTCTCTCCTTTACCTCACCGGAGACAACGGAGGCACGTTAGAGAGAGTCTGAGGTCGAGGTTGCGAACAATACTTTCACACAACTCAAGTTATAGTTCACAGCCTTCAGAAGCCCATTTTGTCCTAGAAGCCCATTCTCAATTTCAGACCAAAGGCGAAACTGAGTCTAAAATGACAAAATGTATGGCTCATATTTACACAGAAACAACCCAAAACCCATACCCTGTGGGGCGAAAATCCCTTCATAGCTTATAAAATTATAGGCAACTAAGTGCCCGCGGAAGTAAAGGGGACGCCCTCAAAATCAGCTAACTAGCCGATTTTAAAAGAGAGCTGTATGTCTTGGAGAGGTACGAAGCTAAAGTCTGCAACGCGACAAAGACTTACTATACTTTACCCTGCATTATTGTTCGACGTTAAGACAGAATTGAGTGTACTCCCGTTATGATGTTGGTCTTAATAGAACGTTCAGTCCAAAGCCCTGATATCAAGTAACTAGGGCGCATAGGCAGCAGTGCGACACGAGGGTGTCTGCGCCTGCGCTTCGCCTGCCGCTTGATCTCACTCCCAATTACTGGGGCACCTGCTGGGCAGGCTGGTAATGATTAGACAGCTCAACAATATTGAGAATCTTTCATGTACTGGTGGTTTTCTACATGTTCTGTGTTTTTCTAACAAAGAACACAAGCATGAAATTGTGACAACCGCTCTGAACAAAACAGCATGAAACCGGTGCCAAGGAAGGGAAAACTCTGCCTCGTCCGAAGGTACCACCCTTCACTGAGGAAATGTAATGGGAAACAGGGAACGGGGACATAAAACGTGAGTAAACCAAGTCAAACGTGGTTTTAGCATTGCTTGTGATTAGTTAAAAGAAACAACAGTATATTTCGTCATCGCTTACCGTTCTTAAGATATTCTTCGCCGTATTCCAGTCGTTTGTCTGATGGTAGGTTATCCCATAGTTCTTTTAAGCGAGATGCCAATAGTTCATCATTCAACATCGGAGTCTGCGTAGCACCAGGCTGAATAACGCTGACCTGCACTTCAAACGGGCGCATCTCGCGTCTCAAAGAATCCGCAAATGCCTCAACGCCATATTTGGTAATACAGTATGGAGAGAACGCTTGGGGCGAAACTACACCTAGAAGATATTAAAAAAATGTCTGGATAGGAGCCAAGTGACCAACTATGCGGCGCTTATCTCCGGTTTCTGTAGCATGAGGCGACCAGGAGTATTTCTACTCCCCCTGGATGGGATGCTAGTCCATCGCAGGGTCACCCCCCCAGCATTAAATTCTCTGGTGCTCATTTATACACCTGGGTGGAAAGAGGCACTGTGAAACTAAAGTGTCTTGCCGAAGAACACAACACAATGTCCCCAGCCAGGGATCGAACCCAGATCGCTAAATCCGGAGACGAGCGCTGTAACCATGAAGTCACCGCGCCCCCATATTAAAACAGAGCGATAATCAGTACCTAGAACTGGCATTAGGCTTACTTTTACTGAGTTTTTCGTTATTTTTGGAACTACAAAATACGCTGAAACTAGTAAGAAAAATTCACATGTTAACTTTGATCACCGTAAATTTAAATCTGGATATACTTCTGCTCTTTACTAACCATATTCATCAACGAGTGCTAAGTAGCGCATCATACCAGAAATTGGCTAATATTTAGTTCATTAAGCTGAAATTTTGACACCAAAGAGGTCTGCTCATTGGAAGCATCTTGTGGAGTTCGGCTGTTCCAAAATAAGCTATCGCTATTCGTCCCTGCAATTACCACGCTTGTAAAATTACTAAACAACTTCTTGCTACTATTCGTAGTAAGAAACGTGTTAGAATTAAAAAAGTTTCATTTGTTTCCACTTTTAGACGTTTATTCGTCTGATAGATGTGGTTTGTGGAAAACCCACCGATCAAATGGGCTTATCAAAATAGGCTGATTCGCTGTAGGAGTGAGTTCCTTTAAGAGCGTGTGCAACCTCGTTCCCAGGGTCTCGGAGCGGGAAGATTAGAGACCCCTGGGAACGAGGTTGGAGCGGGTGAAGGGTAAGAATGTTCATGTTCCATATAGGCCTCATTACTTAGGTCATCCTTCTCAAGCTATTTTCAGAGATGGTACCCAGTTCTGGATGGTTTCGTTGAGGACGCTGTGTGAAACGACCTGGACTGTCCACGAGAGAAAAATTCGCCTCACAGGATTGGCTAGTTCTAGACTCTCCTAAGAGTTCCGAAATCATATGGAGAATGGTCTGAAAATAACTTGACGGGGATAGCCTTAAAAGCAAAGGACTATATGGAGGATTATCTTTCTTACATTTCATCCTCGCTTGGTTTGTGTTTACCTGCTACGCTGCCGACAAACACGACGCGTCCCTTGGCCTTTTTTACCAGTGGTAGGAATGTCTTTGTCACGTCCATCACTCCCCACAAGTTAACATCTGCTACTTTCTTGAAATCAGCAAGTGGTACCCACTCTGCGGGTCCAATACTTAACATCCCAGCATTGTTGACCAGTCCCCATAGGCCTGAAGTAGAACGAAGGTTAATATTATTCTATTCACTCAAAGGAAAAAATAAGTCCAGCTCTTTCGATTTCACTACAGATCTATTCCTTTTTTCCCACTATCATGGTAACAAGAATTAAGGAAATAAAATGTAAGCGCGCGTTGCGTTCTCCTTGTGAGTGTATAGCGAAAAACGTGAATCGTTTCACAGTGGAGCTGTCCGTTTCACAAACCCTGAAACATAACGAAATTCGTGATTAAGAGAACCCCTATTTTTACCATCCTAAATTTGTGACTTTGTCTGCCTCCTACACACAATCTACATCAAGACTGGGGGTAACGATTCACCTAGTTGTACTACATGGATGCCCTGCGGAGCTTTGTGACACAACACAAGTTCACTCTTAAAACTTGTTCTCCTAATCTACTTTCTGGTACACGACACAAACACAGAGCTAGCATCCTTTCCTTGGTTATAACGCAATAAAAAGATGCTGCTCGTAGAAAATTGTGCAGAGACAACGATCAGGAACTAATTGGTGACAGTTTCCTGAAGTCAAATAATATCATTGTCTTTAATCTTCTCATGACCTTCGATCAAACGTTCTGTTTCTTTCTCAAAAGAACGCCTGATCGTCGGGTTAATTTCGTTGTCGTAACCAGACCACCCTGGAGAGTTGGTTGTATTCACAGGCTGAGGTTTCTTGTTTACAAAAGAATCCCCGCTCGTTCAAAATCATTTCCCCGGGCGGCAACGCTGATAGCCTGGCTAAAATATCAGTCTTCTCGCGCCCTCAGCCTAATCCCCCGGGCATGGAGAGTGTCTCTTCCAGGGATTAAGCTGAAGGCGGGAGACGACTGACATTTCAGACTTCAACGCTGCTGGAGTGGGTCACGAACAAGATCGTTGAAAGGTCTGAGTCATTTCGTAACAAAATGAGCATGAAATTAACTTTTCATACTTGATCTCGAACGATGACAGGTTGTCGTGGCATAGGCAGTCAAAAAGAAGCTCGAAGAAGAAGATCTGGTCATGATGCTTGAGAACTGATTGAGGTTCCGGAGACCGATTGCTTTCCAAACAAAAACATATAAGTTACTCATATACAACAACAGCGTTTGTTTTTTTATATATTCGATAATATCTAAACAAATCTAAATTAAACATCACGACTGAATTTCATCCCTGGATCTTTAACCTGTGAGCAAGCTCTTTCTTTACTCTGCTCGCAGACTACCGGAACTCGCTATTGAATAGTCGCTCTAAGTAAGCACATCATTTATCGGATAAAAGAGTTCTGTTTACCTGATTTGCCATCGAGAAGTTTCTTTACTTTTTGAAAGACTTCCTCTATATGTTGTGAGTTTGTCACATCCATCTGGAATGTTATCAGTTTGTCGCTCATCACCGATTTCAAACTCTGCTCTCCTTCTTTCGTTAAACAAGTCGCCAACACATGGACTCCCATCTTGTCCAGTTTCATGGCTGTTTCACGGCCGAAGCCCGAGTCGCAACCCGTGACTAGAACAAACTTTCCGTTTATATTCAAATTAACTTTGCGCGTCCACCAAGGTATCATCAAAACGACGATTAATGCAGCAATTGCTATCGTCATAATCACAAGCCACATGGCGGCGGACGAGAAATCTTTCGTTCCGGCGATGGTAGTTTTCGTCAGTCACAACTCACGAATTGAGATTACACAGAAACCGGCCTGTGAATACACAGGTTATCTGTAATTTGTGTGAAATATGACCACCCACAGCTGCAATATAGGTGCAGACAAGGTCACAAATTAAACCCTAGCTCACTGATGCCAGAAAATATGCTAATACTATAAAATTTCACAAGTTTAGAATTTTTCAGTCTAGTCTTTGGAGAAAAGTGCGCGGCTAAAACCGAATTCGTTCGTGCGTTCTTGTTCATTTTATATCAAAGCATGATGACTTTTTTTGCACTCGCCGAAGCGGCTAGTGCAATTTTTGAAAAACTCACTCGTGCAAATTAATTCCAAATTGAACTCGAAACCGTATGATTACCTATACTAATAGACCATTTTACAGTTGTCTGCTCAGTGACCTGGCCTTTGTATGACAGCAAGGCTAGAGTTGACCTTGTTTTGATACAGACCTCACTGCTTTGGTCATGTAAATGCACCTTGTTAGCATCAGAACAACTTGTTTTACACAACAAAAGCAGTGAGGTCTGTATCAAAACAAGGTCAACTCTAGCCTCGCTGCCATACAAAGGCCAGGTCA